AGAATTCTTTCCTAGAAAGGACATTTTTCAGTTAATAAAACATCAGTGGATGTTTCTGTGGAGACTGCTTTGAAGATTTGGTTAAACAGGAAATATATCACCAAAAGCACAACATTCTAGGTGCAGATTTTACCTCTCCTGTGTAAAATAGGCCTAGTTATTTCCTTGGAGGGTTGTTTTAATGATTAGAAATAATATGCATAAAGCACCTGGCGCATGGGCACTGAGTAAAGGGTAGAAGTCATCAATACTGTCTACATTTTATATAGATTCCTCCTCCTGAGTTGGGGGTGTGCTATGGTGCATTGATTCGGTGAGATGCTTTTAAATTAAGAAGGTGGCTGCAGCATTTTCTATAAGCGGTGACCACATGAAGCCGGCCAGGCCGAGGCAGGCTTCATGAAGACTCAGCCTGACATAGTCACTGACGAGAAGCAAGCTTTTTAGTTTTGCTTTGCTGAGAAGGTGGTGCTGATTGCTTTCTTCCATTGGGAAATCAATTTACTGTGCAGCAAATCTTAGTAAGCAGTTTCATACTATTGCTTTTCTAAAAAAAAGACATGTTTCTGTTTTTATTAATCATGAAACTGACAGAAGATGGTAGAATTTGTAAAAGAAAATAACCTGTTTGCTCTCCTTTTTACCACACGTACTGTTTTCTAGAAATTAAGAATAAAGAAGGCATTTTTATCTTCCAGTCTTGAAACTATACCCTCTTCTGGTTTGAAACAAACAGCCTCATGTCCTTGGAGACCTGCCATATATGAATTTCTGGAATAAAAGGAATTTTCAGAGATGTTTGCTGTCATTTTGAAGGCAAAGTAACAGAGCCTTGGTTCCAGGAGATGCCCAAAATAGCTGGGCATGTAATTTTGGGGCTAGATGTTTCCTGATCACAAGCTTGAAAACGTGTCCTCCTTGGAGTTGAATTCAAGATCAAGTACCATTGGTGTGGAGAATGAGAGGGTTTTATGCTATGGTTTTCTGACATATACAGCGCAGCTGATTTGTGTGTGTGTGTGTGTGTGTGTGTGTGATGGAGTCTCACTCTGTTGCCCAGGCTGGAGGGCAGTGGTGCTCACTGCAACCTCTGCCTCCCAAGTTCAAACAATTCTCCTGGCTCAGCCTCCCAAGTAGCTGAGACTATAGGTGTGCACCACCACACCTGGCTAATTTTTGTATTTTTAGTAGAGACAGGGTTCACCATGTTGGCCAGGCTGGTCTTGAACTCCTGACCTCAAGTGACCCCCCAGCCTCGGCCTCCCAAAGTTCTGGGATTACAGGCGTGAGCCACTGTCCCTGGCTGCAGCTCACTTTTAATTAGTGAGATACAATTTAAAAAATAGCAACCACAACAACATGAAGCAGGTTGGGTGAAAAGAGCATTTGATAATCTGTTTTATAAAATAGCCCTCTGCACAGTTTCCTTAAAGAGAAGTCGTTCTTCATCCTTTTGCAATAGGTTTGATCACCCTATTTTATTTTTACATACAACACTGGTTATGTAAAGTTAAGGGCAGCCTCATGATGGTCCAGCGGTTACCTCCATGCAGGTAGGAAGCAGCGTAATTGTGGCCCATTTTTTGCCTCTGCTGAGTATTCTACACCAATAACCAAGCAGCCTCTGGGGGGCAGCAGAACACCGGATAAGACCACTGTGCCCTGGGCTGTCAGGCTTTTCTGACTTGTCATCCAGCCCCTCCTTTGTGTCCTTGGCGCAGAACCCAAGCTTCTCTTTGCCTACCAAAACTCATCCTCTTGGCCTTGCCAGAATGAGAGGCTTCGCCCTTCAGCCTCCTTTGCCCCACTGTTTTCGCTCACACCCTTCTCCCCTGCACTCTGAAACCTTCCTAGTCTACTTTGTACCATGTCACATAGCTTAATGATGGGACTTGTTTGCTATTGTTTCACAAGCAGGTATGCCCATCCTTATAGCAAGAACAAAGTCATGTCTGTTTCCCACAGTGCCAGGAACTCCCTGAAGGCCTAAAGACATGCTCAACAGCAGGTGGAAGATTCCGTAATCTGTATTGAGTGCTTGATGCCTATTTGCTAATTTGATTGTCAAGATGGTCCTGTTTTTGCACAAATGAAAGAATTGGCTTTGCTTTACTTATTTCTGAAACTGCTACATTCTCACATACCTTCCAGTTTAATAGTTCTTGATTGGGGTGAAATATAGAGGACTTTAAAAATTAGCCCAGGGATGTAATGGAAGCAGTAAGTTGGGTGTACAGTTGCAGATTTGCTTCTTGGTCTTTCTCCTCCCCAACTGTGTACCTTGGGCAAATTAATTTCTCAACCTCAGTTTCCTCACCCATAAAATGGGATTATGTAAGGTGATCAAATAATTTATTATCCAAACTGGAAACTGGAACATATTTGAGAGTGGAGGATGTCAAAGAAAAACCAGATATAGGTAGTAGTTGAAGCAGTAAAAAAATTTATTTGGGAACTATTGTAATAGGGGAAAAGAGACCTCAGTATGGAACTGGACTCAATTTTTTTTTTTTGACAGAGTCTTGCTCTGTCACCCAGGCTTGAGTGCAGTGGCATGTTTTCAGCTCACTGCAACCTTCACCTCCTCCTCCCAGGTTCAAGAGATTCTTCTGCCTCAGCCTCCCAAGTAGCTGGGACTACAGGCCCACACCATGATGCCTGGCTGATTTTTGTGTTTTTGGTTAAGACAGGATTTTGCCGTGTAGCCAGGCTGGTCTCAAACTCCTCACCTCAGGTGATCCACCCGCCTCGGCCTCCCTAAGTGCTGGGATTACATGCAAGAGTCACTGCACCCAGCCAGAACTGGGCTCAATTCTGAATACAGCTTGGACAAGGGGGATATGGCCAAGGAGCAAGGTGGAGGTCATTGAGTAGAATACTATTAAGAGGAAACTTTGGGAAATAGGGGGATTCTGGCTAAACAGACTTAACAGGATTCCTCCTGAAGGCAGCCAGGGTGATCAGACACCAAGAGTAGGTGATGAAGAATTTGGCCAGATATTGGAGCATGATCAGATACTGCAGGTGGGGGGTTCGTTCTAAACCGACTTAGCAGTATTCTTGCTACAATAAAGATGGACACCAAGGTTGAGGCCTAGAGAGCTTAGAGGAGCTTGACTAAAGTTTAGTCAAGGAGAGAGTCTTTGTCCAGTGGCACAGTTTGAAGTAATTACAATGGTATAGTCTTTTAAAAGATTTATTGCCTGATAAGTTGCTTTTGTTTTTAGCTTGCCTACCTATACAGTTCTATTAAGCCAGGTGTGGTGGCTCATGCCTGTAATCCGTGCACTTTGGGAGGCTAAGGCAGGAGGATCACTTGAGGCTAGGAGTTTGAGACCAGCCTAGGTAACTTTTATCATCTCTACAAAAAAAATTTAAATTAGCTAGGTGTGGTGGTGCATGCCTGTAGTCCCAGCTACTTGGGAGACTGAAGTGGGAGCATTGTCTGAGTTCAGGAGCTTGAGGTTGTGGTAAGCTAAGATTGCACCACTCCACTCCTGCCTGGGTAACATCTAGAGATGCTATCTCTAAAAATAAAATAGTCCTGTTGAAAACATTTTGACTAGAACAATTTCCTCTCCGAAAACAATTTTATTTCCTCCTCAAAAACAAGTTTGATCTCCTCCCCCAAATTAAAATGGTATATAAACAGGACAAATGCTAAGTTGTTTAAAATGCTGGGGCAGTGGGTATAAACCATACATATGGTGCTTTAAAGAATCAAACAAAATAGTACATGTAAAGTGTCTAGTACTTGGAACATACTGTGTATTCAGAAAAGGATTTTCTCCTTTTCCCTCCTGGAGGAAGGTTGGACAAAGAAGCACTGATCAGCAATAAACAAAGGCCTACGGGTTTTTTAAAAAGGCTATTGCAAAAAGCTCCTAGCTTTCCAGGTCCTAACAGCCCAAGGTGTGAGTTTTGTCCAACTCAAGCAGGAAAATACTGACTGAAGAACATAGTCCTGTCTCTCTGTACTCAGGCAGCTGTCTCGGCAATGGAGAACATACCCAGGGGATGGCTGTGCATTTTGTCTGGTACTTTGGCTGCCCTGTGAGCACAGAGCCCTTTTCTTTGTTGTGAATTCACGACTGCTTCTGGGCAACCTGCCTAGAAAGCTGGGGAACCGTCTCTGGCACCCATCTGCTGCACCCAGCTCCTGCCTGTTTAGGAACGTGATCTTACCAACTGCATTTAAATAATGGGTTTACCATAAACTTAATAGTCTGAGCTGTAAAATCCGCACCTGCTGTATTAGTCCATTTTCATACTGCTATGAAGAAATACCCAAGATTAGGTAATTTATAAAGAAAAAACAGTTTAATGGACTCACAGTTCCACATGGCTGGGGAGGCCTCATAATCATGGCGGAAGGCAAAAAAGGAGCAAAGGCACATCTTACATGGTGCCAGGCAAGAGAGCCTGTGCAGGGGAACTGCCCTTTGTACAACCATCAGATCTCGTGTGAGACTTATTCACTATCACGAGAACAGCATAGGAAAAACCTACTCCCATGATTCAATTACCTCGCACTGGGTCCCTCCCATGACACATGGGGATTTTGGGAGCTACAGTTCAAGATGAGATTTGGGTGGGGTCGCAGCCAAACCATATCACCTGCCTTGAAGGTTGCTGGTCCCGTGTAGCCAGAAGCCTAACTGCCATTCTGTGATTGGATTTCCAGGGTTGGGCCCGGGCCCACCCCTTTCAGAAACTCTAAATTCATGACTTCTTGCCCTGCCTCTTATAAGTGCTATTTTGCTCTAGTAATGAGAGCTCTTGAGCCTGTGTGTTCATTTAACCTAACACCCTGCAGAGCTGAGGCTTGGGTTTTTGCCAACTCCTTGTGGGATGGAGAATCCAAGGAATCTGGCCTCCTGGAAGCGAGGAAGGATCTGCATATGTGAACAGCAGTGTGTGACAGGAGAGTCAAGCCAGGGAGCAAGCAGAGTTGCAGGGAAGCCCTCTGCATGGCTCCTAACAGCCTCTTCTTTCTCTAGGTATGTGTACATTCCAGTGGGCGGGTCCCAGCATGGCCTGCTGGGGACACTGTTTTCCACGGCGATGACATTTGCATTTGTGAGCTACTGGCATGGCGGCTACGACTACCTCTGGTGCTGGGCAGCGCTCAACTGGCTGGGAGTCACCGTGGAGAATGGAGTCCGGAGGCTGGTGGAGACTCCCTGCATCCAGGACAGTCTGGTGAGCAGGGTCCTTGCTCCTGTGTTAGGGGACAGCTGAGCTAGGCAGATCAGGTCTAGGAGGGATGGGGCCATCAGATTCCCTGCGCCCACCGTGGGCCCTTTCTGCTAGGTTGATTCAAAGTCCATATGCCTAGAGACAAGACAGCTGGAAAAGAAGCTTCTGTAGTGCATATGTGTGTTTGTGTGTGTGTGTGCGTATATATGTTATAACTATAAAAAATGTATTATGTAAAAATTAGAAAATTTAAACAAGAAAAAAACCTCTCTTCAACAGAAACCATGTTAAGATCCATTCTTCTAAATTTTTTCTATGTGTTTATACAAACAGACATATGTATGTAACATTAAAACAAATGCTATTACAGAGAGATGATTGTATCCGGACCACCTTTTTAAGTCACTGAGTCCATACCTAACCACCCCTTTTTTTTTTTTTTTTTTTAATTATACTTTGAGTTCTAGGGTACATGCCTCTGCTGCTGATACCCAGGCAAACAGGGTCTGGAGTGGACCTCAAGCAATCTCCAACAGACCTACAGCTGAGGGTCCTGACTGTTAGAAGGAAAACTAACCACCCTTTTTAATGGCTACATAGAATTCCCTTATGTGGATATGCCATAATTTATTTTAGTCTCCTATTATTAGTAATCATATTATTCTAAAGGATTTTTGCAGCTGTCAGCTGTATTAAAATGAATATCATAACCAGGATGAATTCTCATAAGTGAAATTTCCAGGTTCAAGGTTTTTTTCTTCTTTAATGTTCCTTATGTATATTGCCTATTAACTCTTAACTGCCCTGTAGACAAAAGTACACTGGTTTATGTTTCTACCAATGGTGCATAAGAATGACCTTGCTAATATTGAGTATAACTGGAATTCCAAATCCTGATGGGTGTTGTATATAGTATAAAAAACAACTAAGGTTTTAAGAAACAGTTCAACTTTACAGGAAAGTGATTTGGAAAATCAATTAAGCATTTCTCTTTACACATATATTTTAAGTGATTTTAAACTATGAGCATAGCTTTTATCTTGCAAATGTGGTGTATGATATATTACAATCTTGTCAGAAATCATCAGTTCTGAAGATGCAGCAATATCCCTCTAACCCCAAAAAAAGTAGCTAAAAAGAAATGTGCTGGCATCAGTGTTCATGGCAGGCAATCACACACAGAAAATTTGAAAAATGATTAATGTGGCTAAATTCCACCAATATGAATAACTAAAGCAAATGCACTTTAAAAAACCCTGTCAAAACAGAATACATTTACATATGTTTTTATAAAGATAGCCATAGTACAAGTGGACAGTTATTTCAATAAAAACTGAAATAAACTGAGTAGTCAAACAACACATTGGAGGGGATTTAAATATGCTCATGTATGTATAAAGATAAATATTTTTCCAGCCATCAGCAGGAAGGAAATGCCAGTGGATTCTAGTAGAAAATGGTATTTCAGTGAAAGCCATGGCTATGTAACACACAGGAAAACGAAAAAGGATGGTATCATAAAGATTTTAATCTTCCCTCAAATCTGAGCATTCTGCTTCAAAGCCTGAAAACACAGTTATCACCTTTGAAAGACAGAAGGTTCTTTTCAGCCCTGTCTGTAGCCCTGTAACTCATTTCTGTGCTGTTTCATGAAGCAGCTAACATTAACCTTGAACTTAATGTTAAGCAGTGCTCTGTGGCCTTTGAGCCATAGCTTATGCTAGTAATAATTTTAGAAATCTAAAACGTTGGAGTAACCCAACTGTGCCATGTAGCCTGTGGCCTGTTCATTTTGGTTCAAAATAAATCAAGGCATCAGGCACATTTACTCACAGGATGAAGCTCTTGCCTGTCTACCTTGCTCCATCACAGCTTGCGTCAGGACTCACTCATTCACCTCACTTGACCTTCCGTCTATAATTCAGGTACCTTGGTACATAGTAATTTTTGATATGCATTTTCTTGGCAAAATATTTGTCTTATATGTTGCAAATGTGATGTTTGGCTTGCATCTTTATTAAGCAAGAATATATTTTATGAAACCTATTTTTATCACCTACAAGCCTGGTAGGAGGTGACGGCTATTTAGACAATGTACTCCTTGAGTACATGGCCAGGTTCCCATTACTCTGTTTATCCCCATTGTCTGAGTGAGCCTCAGTGTTAAGTCAGTGTACAATTAGTGCTTTCATATCAGATCGATTCTTCAGTTCTTCCTCCACTTGTCCAGACATAGAGTCTTCCTCCAGTACCCTGTTTCTTGTGTAGTTCCACACAACATCCAAATGCACACAAATTTTTGAGGAAACTATTTCCCCACTTAGTTTACCTTTCTTCCCTCTCTTTCCATGAATCAGTTTCCTGTTCTTCTGTCAAAATCCAAATAAAGACTTACTGCCTCTGTGAGTTCATTCTGCATGCCCCTCACGTCCTCAGTATTATTCAGAGTTCTCCAGAGAAACAGATCAATAGGGTGTGTGTGAGTTTGGGTGGGCGGGCGGGGGTGGGGTGCGGTAGGGATGATGGTAAAGAAATTTAGTGTACAGAATTAGACCGTGTGATTTTGTAGGCTGAGAAATTCAGACCCAGGAGAGCTAATGGTGTAAGTTCCAGTCCAAAAAAAAAAAAAAAAAGGCAAGAGAAGACCAGTGTCCTAGCTCAAAGACAGGCTTGAAGACAGAAAAAAATATTGTCTCAGCTTTCTGTTCTATTTAGAACTTCAACAGATTGGATGAGGCCCACTCACATTGGGGAAGGAAATCTGCTTTCTTCAGTCTACTGATTCAAATGTTAATCTCATCCAGAAACACCTTCACCAGAACACCCATGAATAATATTTAAGTGAATATTTGGGCCCATTCAGGTTTACAAATAAAATTAACCATCACACCCTTTCATCATGGTGTATATCCTTCATCTGTTTTATTAAGATAGATCAGCAGATGTCTAAAGAAAAAAAAACTATTTTTTCTTTGTCATATTGTCTTTTCAAAAAATGTTTGCAGGTACATAGTAGGTGTTTGTATTTATGGGGTACCTGAGATATTTTGATACAAGCATGCAATGTGTAATTATCACATGGTGGTAAATAGGGTATCCATCATCTCAAGCATTTATGCTTTCTTTGCGTTACAACCAATCCAATTATACTCTTCCAGTCAGTTTTAAATATATAATAATTGTTGACTGCAGTCACCTTGTTGTGCTACCAAATACTATGACTTATTCTATATAACTATATTTTTATGCTCATTAACCATCCTTCCACCCAACTACCCTTCCAGGCCTCTAGTCATCATCCTTTTACTCTCTGTCTCCACAAATTCAGTTGTTTTAATTTTTAACTCCCACAAACAAGTGAGAACATGTAAAGTTTGTCTTTCTGTGCCTGTTTATTTTCCTTAATTACTTCCAGTTCCATCCATGTTGTTGCAAAGGATAGGCCCTCATTCTTTTTTATGGCTGAATGATACGCCATTGGGTATATGTACCACATTGTCTTTATTTGTCTGTTGATGGACACTTAGATTGCTTCCAAATCTTGGCTATTGTGAATAGTACTACAGTAAACACGGGAGTGCAAATATCTCTTTAATTTACTGATTTCCTTTCTTTTGAGTATATCCCAAACCATAGGACTGCTGAATCATATGATAATTCTGTTTTTAGTTTTTTGAGGAACCTGCGAACTGTTTTCCATAGTGGTTGTATTAATTTACATTCCCACCAACAGTGTACAATGATGCCCTTTTCTCCACGTCCTTACCAGCATTCGTTATTGTCTGTCTTTTAGATAAAGCCATTTTAACTGGGGACAGATAATATCGTATTGTAGTTTTGACTTGAATTTTTCTGACTTTAATGTTGAGCACTTTTTCATATACCTGTTTGCCATTTGTATGTCATCTGTTTCGAAATGTCTATTCAGATCCTTTGCCCATTTCTTCATCAGATTATTAGGTTTTTTTCCTGTAGAGTTGTTTGAGCTCCTTGTATATCCTGGCTATTAATCCCTTGTCAGATGGACAGTTGACAAATATTTTCTCCTATTCTGTGGGTTGTGTCTTCACTTATTGATTGTTTCCTTTACTCTGCAGAAAACTTTAAACTTGATGTGATCCCATTTGTCCATTTTTGCTTTGGTTGTGTATTACTAAAGGATTATTTGCTAACTCCAGTGTCCTGGCAAGTTTTTCCAATTTTTTTTTTAGTAGTTTCATATTGTGGGACCTTAAATTTAAGTCCTTAGTTCATTTTGATTTGATTTTTTTAATATGGTGAGAGAGAGGGGTCTAGTTTCATTCTTCTTTATATGGATATCCAGTTTTCCCAGCACCATTTTTTGAAGAGATTGTCCTTTCCCCAGTGTATGTTATTAGCACCTTTGTTGAAAATGAGTTCACTGTAGATGTGTGGATTTGTTTCCGGGTTCTCTATTCTGTTCCATTGATCTATGTGTCTGTTTTTGAGCAATACCATACTATTTTGGTTACTATAGCTTTATAGTATATTTTGAAGTTAAATACTGTGATTCATCCAGTTTTGTTCTTTTTGTTCAGAATAGCTTTGGCTATTCTGTGTCTTTTGTGTTTCCATATAAGTTTTAGGATTTTTTTTTATTTCTGTGAAGAATGTCATTAGTATTTTGATAGAGATTGCACTGAAACTGTAGATTACTTTAGATAATATGGATGTTTTAACAATATTGATTATTTCAGTCCATGAACATGGAATATCTTTCCATTTTTTGTGTCCTCTTCAATTTCTTTCATCAGTGTTTTATAATTTTCATTGTGGGGATCTTTCACTTCTTGGTTAATTCCTAGGTATTTAATTTTATTTGTAGCTATTATAATTGGGATTACTTTCTTGATTGCTTTCTTTTAGTCTAGCTAAAGGCTTGTCAATTATATGAATCTTTTCAAAAAACAAACTTTTCATTTCATTGATTTTGTATTTTCATTGTTTCAATTTTATGTATTTCATCTCTGATCTTTATTGTT